AACCGTGCTTGAAAAAAAACACCGTTTTTTTTTTTCTTCTTTTTTTTTTGTTTTTTTTCCAGCGGGGCTTTGTCGATTCCTCATATGTTTTTTTCCAAGTGAAACGAGGCCGGGCGCCTGCGGACAAGGGCGTTGCCGTCGCAGATTCCGGCGCCCATTCCTCTTCGGATAGCAGTGAAAACGATGCGGGAACTATGTGCAGAGAGAGGCGGACCTCGAAGATGTCTCAAGACAGTCTCAAGACGGCCCAAGATAGCCGAGCATGGCTCTAGACAGCCTCCGACATCCTGTAGCCAAGCGTTGCTGAAGATAACCCTGTCTGCCGAACGGGAGACGTCAACGAAAAAATGCACGCATATAGAAGGGAATGGGGAGAGGGGAGAGAAAGGGAGTGGGGTCTGAATGAAAAATAAGAAACAGGGAGACACGGCGAGACATGACGTCGGGCTGGCCGTCTGGACGGCGGCCAACACTCTGCGACGGCAATGCCCCCGCCCGCGGCCGCGGCAACGCGCGGACAGTGGTAAAACGCAGCGCTGTCGCGCAAAACCGTGCTTGAAAAAAGAAACGCCGGTTTAGTTTTTTTTTTTGTTTTTTCCCCGGCGGGGCCTTGTCGATTCCTCCTGTGTTTTCCAAGTGAAACGAAGCTGGGCGCCTGCGGACAAGGGCGCTGCCGTCGCAGATTCCGGACCAACCAGACCAGCCAGACCAGCCAGACCAACCAGACCAGCCAGACCAACAAAACCAGCCAGACTGAGCAGCGCAGCCAAAACAGCCAGAATCAGATGTGCCAGCCAGACCAGCCAGACCAGCAAGACCAGCCAGACTGACCAGTCCAGCCACAACAGCTGGGACCAGACGTGCCAGCCAGACCAACCAGACCAGCCAGATAAGAGCAGCCATCACAGCCAAGATGGCCTCCAAGACGGCCAACATGGTACCAAAATGCCTCCAAGACGGCCCAAGATGCACCCAAGACGGCCTTAGGTGGGCCCAAACGGCTCCCACGAGGCCTCCAAGATGGCCTCTCCTTCCTTCTCCTGCTGCTGCTGCGAGGAGGCGGGGGCCTCGCTCGTAATTTACTGTGCAGTGGGGCTGGTTTTTGGCACTTGGTCTCGCCGCGGGCTGTCCCTGCCCGGGCTCTGTTGGCCCAGCGTGCTTCCAGGATTGCCCCCTTTCCCCTTTTGTCCGGGGCTGGGAAAGGGGAGCGGGCGGGGATCAGGAGGGAGGAGGAGGAGGAGGGAGGAGGGCGAGGGGGGAGGCAGAGCAGGGAGAAAAGGAAAGTGGGGCTTGAGTTTTGCCCGAACAGCGGCCTGGCGGGTAGGGCGCTGCGAATCCCACCAGCTCGACGCCGCGGCGTCCGAGCGGGAACGCGCTGAAAGATGCGTTTTATATCTCAAGCAATCCTCGCGGCCATGCTTGGGAAGATGCGGCGCGGACGCCGCGCTTCGATGCCGGGGCGAACGGCGTTGGGAGATGCTTTGAGACGTGGGGGACCACGGGCGACATGGAGGTTTCAATGCGTGGGTCGGCCTGGCAAGGAGGAAGGAGACCGGGATCTGGGTGGCGAGGGGGGGGGCAGTTGCGGGTGCCAGATGTATTTGATGAGATGGCCGTCTCCCAATGGAAATCTGCGGTGTGGGGTGGGGGGGTAGCAGGCGGGCTCAGACGGCCAGCGAGCTGGGACCGGACTTTGGGGGGAAAATTCAAGTTTTCGGATCAAAACATTGCGCCGCGGGGCGGGCGCAGGACGGGGGCCACTGGTCCGGCGGTAGACAGATGACGGGGCCTCATGGGGCAGCATGGAAGCTCGGCATCGAATCCGAGGGGTCGGGGGCCTCGACGCCACGCGCGCGCGCGCAGGAAAGCTGCGCTGGAGGTCGCCTCACTCCGCGGGCGCGGCCGGGTCGCCGAACGCCTCGTGGATGCGCTTGACCGCGGGCCCGAGGAACTCGTCGAAGTTGTCCTCGGCCTTGGGGTCGGCCTTGCGCTTGGCGCGCGTGAGGCGACTGGTCAGAGTCTCACCTGCAGCAGCAATTTCGGCCCTGAGCGCGTCGGGCGTGATGCTGGGCGGCAACTTCCACATGTCGCTCACGGTGAACTCGGACGTCGCGGCGTCGAAGTGGGTGACCACGATGAGCGCCTGGTCTTTCTTCGCGAGCGCGTAGCGGCCCAAGCGTTTCGTCGCGCAGGCAGTCACGGCGTGGAAGACGGCTTTCTGGTCGGAGTCGCTCTCCGCCGCGTCCGCGATGTAGTTGGTGATCGCGAAGCCGCCCTCGCGCGGCACGGTCTCGGGGTCTTTCGTGGCCTCTACCAGGGGGAGCGCGCCGCTCGCGCGGAAGCGCGCGGAGCCGATGGTGATGGTCAGCTTCCCGGTGGTGCTCAAGGAAATGCTGCGGGCGTTCGTGGGAACGACGCGGCTGTCGCTGTGCGGGGCGGGCAGCGGGGCGACGGCGTCGAAGTTCCGGGGGTCCGCGCGCACGATGATCAGGCGGGGGTCCGTGCTCGTCCTGTCGCCATCAACGCTCTTCGGGGCGCGCAGCGTGGCCCGAACGCGCGCCCGGGTCCACGTCGCGGACCCCTGTTCAACGTCGGCCTGGAATTCCGCCTTGTCCGCGCAGCCAGTCAGCGCGAGGGCGACCTTCTCCGTCACCTTGGCCTCCACGGACCCAGCGTGGTCGACCGTGCGCACGGATGCCCAGACGCGGGTCCCATCTTTTGTCAAGAGCGTCTCCGTGTCGCTGAGGGAGAATGACGCTGCCGGGATCTCGAACAGGGTGTCCGGGGGCGTCGTCTTGCTCTGGAGGAGCGCGTCCAGGACGGCCGCGTTGGAGCTGGTGGCGGGCCCGACCTTGGGGGGCGCATCGGGGGGGGGGGTGCGCTCGGCGAGAGCGCCATGTCTCAGCGAAACTTTGGGGCGGAGAACGGCTCCGGACGGGCGGCCGGCTGGGGCCAGCCAGATTTTCGTTGAGAAATGGTTGGTTTCAGGATCAAACTCTGGAAGGGGGGCACCAATGGGGTTTCGACGAGCATGGCCGCTATCTTGGGGCGCGTGCCTGTAGGCGCGGCGAAGGACGTGGACTCCCGGACTGACAGGTGCACGCCGCCACTGTCGGGGTGGACCAAGTACGCTCCGTGGATGTAGATGGGCTCTTTCTTCTGCAGTTGCTCTGCGCGGGGGGCGTTCTCCTCCCAGAATTTTAAGGTGATGCTGCTTCCGGCCTCGTTGCAGACCGTGGCCTCCACCAAGTTCTTGCCTTTGAATTGGGCTTCGGGAGAAACATCCGAGACGAACCCGTGGAGGTCGATCGCCTGGTCCTGCGAGAGGTCGAGGACATCCTGGACTCCCACGGGGGGCTCCAGCTCGTCCGGCAGCTTGTTGGCCTCCGGCGCGTCCAATGCTTTCGTGGTCATGGCCTTGTTGTTCAGCTGAAGTGCGCATGAGTGCGGGCTCCCGTGGAAGGCCTCTTTCTTGCGCACAAGCTTCAGCTTTGAGAGAGACCACGCGGATTTCGCGGTCCACTTGGTCGTCAATGCTTTGCTGACTCTCGTGCGCGCCGCCGGCGAGTCCCCGAAGATCATATGTTCGGCTGTGCAATAGAGGCCACTCTCGCTGATCAGCTTGCAGGTGAAGACCTCGCAGTCCTTCTTGGTCTTGCGCACCATCGGGTCCAGCACTCGCACGTGCGTGGTCTTGGCGCCGCAGTTGCGCTCGTTCACAGTCTCGAGCTTGTCCGCCATGGCAGGCTCAATCTAAGAGCGAGTGCTGGGCGAGATCGACGGTTGAGGGGCAATCAAAGCTCTCGTAAGAAGTCTGATGCTGAGGCAAGGGGGGCCGCGAAGCACCTGTTGGGCTGGTGCACTGCGCGCGAGGCCCTCAAAGAAAGGGCGGCAAGATTGAAATGTGGTGGGGCAGCGATGGGGCGGGGCGAGCACAGAAGCTGACTTCGGGTCCGAAAAATCAAATTTCTAAGCGAAAGTCTGGTAGGCAGGCGGCGGCCTCTGAATCACTAATTATGGCGTCTGGTGCGCCCGGGTATCCTTGGGGCCAGGGAGCTTGCGGGGATGCTGCCACGCTAAGAGATCGAACAAAAATCCGGGGCAATATTTGGCATGGGTGAGCACTGTTTTTCGCGCAATGCTGGGGAAGCGCGCTGACTCTGATCTGCTAAGGTAGAAGGCGTCGAATTGGCAGCACAGTTGTCGCTCGCAAGTAATGCAAGGACAATGCGGCGACACTGCTGGCGTGCGTCAAGGTGGCGGCCCTCGCGTGGAGGGCTCTTCACCGGCGTGCGGGTACTCGTACCAATTATGCCCCTCCCGCCATTGGTCGTGGACGCGGTGCCCGCGCAGGGGTGCGCGGTGGACGCTTTATTGTTTTTATGGTGTTTTTGATTTTTGTTTTTTTTATTTCTTGCTGTTTTATTTTTTTATAATTTTCTGTTTGTAATCTATGATTTATTTTTATATCTTCGAATTTATTTTTATTTTTTTTTTTTGTTTCTCTTTTTTTTTTCTTTTTTTTTTTCGTTTCTGTTCTTTTTTTTTTTGTGTTGTCGGGGTAGTGCGATGCGCCAGACGCCGCCGCATGGGCGAGGGAGGGTTGCCAATCTCCATCTGCATCGTACCCGGCGTTCCAAGCGTGAAGTTCTCGGGCAGGCGGCAAGTTGCGCAAATGGTGCAGTCCCCCGGCTTCCGAAGACGGTCGGTGAAGCACCCGCAGGCGAGCCTTGGCGCGTACCCTGCTGACAGCGACGTAGAAGCCTTTTCTGTCCAAATGGGGCGGCCAAGGTCGCCTGGCCACGCTGAGCACCAACTCGTCGCACGTCTTGCCCTGTAGCTTTTCATCCGTGCAAGCGAACGCCAGCGTAACCGCGTGACACCGTATGCGGATGCGCTTGGGCGCGCGCTTGAGGATGCTGAACGACGAGGTGGCGTCGTAGTCCTCGACGTGGGAGGTGTATGCGATGGGAACGACCACGGACCCAGGAACGAGGGTCTCGATCCCAGCGCCGTCTTCGCCAGCGGGCAAGGAAATCTGGACGTTGATAGAGGCAGGGGGCTCCTCGAGGATAATCTCCCGGAAGCCGCTAGATGCAACAGCGTCCAAGAACACTCCCGGTGCATCGCCGTCGAAGCTGAGGGAGTGCAGGGAACCCATGGCCCCGTTGACGCAGAACTTGGCTGGCTGGATGTTGGCGAGCAGCATGGCCGGGGCCCCGCGCACGAAGCATCCCCACATGCCTGGCTCGTTCTCGTAAAGGCCGTCTAGGACATCAGCTGGTAGCATAGAGCAGTGGCGTCCGTGCAAGGGGTATCGCCATCGGATTAAGGGTAGAGAGTGCGCCCTGGCAAAGCGCTCGGCCTGGATCCTGTTGAGAAGGTACCGCTCGAAGTTGGACAGGACGCAGATGGGAGCGAAAGACCACGCAGGATGTGTCTGGATGTCGTGGGTGGAAACCTCGCGGAGCGAGTCTGTCAACCTCGCTGGAACCGGGGCGCCAGGGGTCGTGTCCCAGAGCTGCAGCAGATCCGTCTGGAAACCAGGGTCGTCGGCAGCTTGCATCTGCTGCGTCAGAACAGTGCGGCGAGCCCGTCGGAATATCTCGAGGCCCTTATCTGATGTGCTCATGGGGGAGTGCCGGACTGGCCTCGATAGGCCAGGCACGTCAGCGCTGGCGAGGAGTTCTGCGAGCGTCGTGGAGCTCGGAGGCGGTTTCTGCCAAAAGTCCCCTGCCAGGATGAGGGCGACGCCTCCAAAAGGGACGCCGTGGACACCGCGTAATCGTTGTAGTTGAAGGTCGATGTGGTGTAAGGCTGCCGGGACGAGAAAACTGGCCTCGTCGACGACGAAGACGAGCAGGTCGGCCGGGTCGCACATGGCGTCGGCGAAGTCCTTGCGGAGGAGCTGCAACGTGTCAGCGTCCGCGGGGCGGTCTTCAGCCAGGCAAGTGAAGTCAATTTTCAGTAAAGAACACAGCGTCGGCGCCCCAAAAGGCGCAGATGCGACTCCCGCCCAGGCTGTGATGGCCATGTGTCCCAAGTGCAGGCGTCGTAAGACGGCGTGCATCGCCTTCAAGAGCACGCTCTTTCCGACGCCCCCAGCTCCCTGGAGCAGATGCACTTGCCGGAGCCCTTGCTGTCGGAGAGAAGCGAGTGTGTCGTGGGGGTCGTCACCTCGTTGGCGGCCGGCAGCGAGGTGGCGCTGTAGTGCCAAATGCTGTCTTGCGAAAGCACGCTGTTGGGGGTTGAGAGGAGGCGGGGGGGGCAGCCTCCGGGTGGCGTGTTACGGAGGTCTGATTCCCAGTTGCGTGCGAGACGCATGAAGGTCTCGTCGTCGATAGGGTCGAACTCTGGTGGGTCGCCGTCCTCCGGGGCGGCGTCTGCGACGGGATGGCCCACGTGGCTCGGTGTGTTGGCGTCGTCGGAAGGCCTGCGTCGAGGCTGCTTGAGGTCTGCCAGGAAGGAGGCGATGTCGGTGGAGCCACTTGGGAAATGGTGGACGGGATGACCGTCCTTGGTCGGAGCCCCCCGTGGCCAGTGTGACCGAGGATCCGGCGTGGATGGTACGTCGGGTAGTGGTGGTAGTCTGTCGGTAATGTCGTCCGCCCATGATTCCATTGCAGCAGCTCGTTTCATGGCTCTGGAGTTGACGTCGGCGCTGGCAGCGTCGCGTAAGTTGCGGATGTCTGCGGCGGCGTCGGTCTCTTGATCCTTGCTGCGGCCAGGGGGAAGGGCTACGTCTGGACAGGAGGTCGTTTCGGACCACAGAGTGCGATCTCGCATGCGCCATTTGCTCATAATATCTGTCTTCCGGGTATTCGACGTGAGGGCTGTCGCCACATGGTGGATGCGGAACAAGCGGCCCTCCGCGATTCTCTGACTCTTCCCGTGCCGCACGGAGTCGGATGCAGGAGGCGCGGAGCCGTGGGCCGCGTCCTCCAGGCGGCGCTGATAAGCGCTCCAAGTGGTCGGGGTCGCGGTCTCCAGTTGGGCCGCGGACCAAGGTACGAAGAGCGCGGTGAAGTACTCGGCGTGGGCCACCTCCATACGCTGGCGCGCCTTGTTGCGCGGAGCGGAATCGGGGGGCAGACGGGGCGGAGGAGCTCCGACAAACACCGGCACGTCGAATTCGGATTTTTCCCTGATGACGCACTGGCCCGCCAAAGGGTGCGGCGGTTCGAGTTCGAAGCTCGGGTTCGTAGGGCGGCCCCTCTTGCCCGATTCGGCGGCTATCTTTGCCCTCTGTTCCGCGGAGACTTTCTAGATGCGCATCCCCATGACGAGCTCGTCGAAAGTGAGGTCGGCGAGTTGTTGGGACCGGTGCGCGTAGTGGTCAGCCTGCGATAATGCAATCGGCGTTCCGTCTGAAGTGGTGTAGATGCTGCAGGTGCCTCGGCGTGGATGGTCGCATTCGTCTGCCGCGTCGACGTCGTCAGGGTCGCCAGTGCATGCGTCGGCATCGCGTTGGCCCAAGGGCGAATCCTCGCTGTCGGGCGGATCGGGGGCGGGCGGAGGGTTGTCGGAGGACGAAGATGACAGCAGGGAGACCCCGGTGGGCAATAGACGTCTGAGGTGGACGGCGTCCCACACGTAGGCATTGACGCATGTGTGAGAATGTCCGCTTGACGCGACGCCGAGAGCGATCGCAGCCGCCTGTGTCGGGGCAAGCACGGCGGCACTGGAATTGAGAACTCGTTGTAGGAAGTGGCGAGTGCACCGTGCTGCGGTGCCTGCGTCGTCAGCCGAGGACGGGTAGAGGTCAATGTGACGACGAGCGTCCGCCAATACGGATAACGAGGCTGCCAGATCGTAAGCCTCTTTAACGAGGTACTTCACCATGTACATGCCGGCTCCCTTCGCAGCCTCCCCGGCACCGAGGTGCAGAGGTGCGGTGTTGCTCCGGACGCATCCCGAGAGGGTGGGGCTGAACTCCACGAGGGCCGCATTTCGGCATCGCATGCCGTGCCAAGCGAGAAGGATGGCACGAGCGTCGTCTTGACTACATGAATTGAGGCAGTCGTTCAGGTTGCGGCCTTGAGTAGGTCTGGACAAAAGGCTGCTGAATTCGCGGCACACGTCTCGGAACATCCCGTGCGCTGCAGAGGGATCCAGTGACTCCAAATCGGCGCGGGGCATGTTCATGATGTCGCGCAACCGGCCTGAATCGGGTTCCACGTGTGGGCGAGCGTGCTCGTAGGAGAGGACGACGTTGGCAGCCCCATCACCAGGGCGAGGCCTGCGAGCCCAAAGTGCAGTCGCTGGTCGTTGTTTCGGGTCGTATCCTGGGGTGCAGTACTTGCAAGACCAGTCCACGGTGCCCTGCGCGGGTTCGTCGGGCAGGATTGCGAGGACGCGAGACTGGGGGACGGGGTGTCCAGAGGGTTTCGCCATGCGGCACCCGAGCTTGCCATTTTTGCCTTTGTGGCAGGTGGCCGCGTGTGTATGTAGTCCAGTGGTAAGAGCTGTGATGGCGGCATCTATGTGAAACTCTCGGACGGCTTCTGGGGTGGGCGTGTCGGTGGTCTGGAAGAAAGCCTGACGCTCCGCTGGTATACGCAACGTCCGGCGGGCCACGTCGATGGCGTGCAAGTCGGCTGGCACGTGGGCCGTATACATCGAGTCCAGGGCTGCGTGCACAGCGGCCTCCAAGCGTGGGTACCCAGCCACGTCGGCCAACAATGTAGGAGAGGCCCCTGCGATGACACCGGAGTGGAAGTGGAAGGACTTGCGGCCGTTTGTTTCGGTCACGA